CGCTGTCCCTCTACTCTACCCAGCATGATGTCCCTCTCCAAAGACCTCTCTCTTCTTGTAACATGTCCAAAGTATGTCAGACGAAGCCCCAGAATCTTTGCCTCCAAGGAGTTGCCTGATTTAACCCTCTCCAGGATGAATCTGTTTGTTTTCTTGGCAGTCCATGGTACATTCAATACTCTTCTCCAGCACCACAGCTCAAAGGCGTCAATTCTCCTTCTATTCTCCCTAGTCATTGTCCAGCTCTCTGATGCATAACAAGTTATTGCAAAGACCATAGCCTGTATCAGGCGCACCTTAGTCTCTAAAGAGACACCGTTGCTCTTGAGTGCTTTAGAGAGGTCCCTAACAGCAGACTTTCCCATCTCAATACGTTTTTTGATTTAATGGCTGCTGGTGCCAAGAGTGTTGACTGTGGAGCCAAGCAAACTGAAGCTGTGAACAATCTCAATCTCTTCGCCATCCATCCTGATGCTACCAATTGGTCCAGTGGTGAGAATCTTTGTCTTCTTGACATTGAGCCTCAGTCCATACTGAAGGCTGCAGTCCTTGACCCTCTGCGGTAAGTGCACGAGGTCCTCCTCAGTTTCAGCGAGCAAGGTTGTGTCATCTGCATAACGCAGATTGTTGATAGATCTTCCACCAATCCTAACGCCACACTTCTCCTCATAGAGCCCAGCCCCTCGGATAATAAGATAGTAAAATAGTTATAAATTTGAAATAATCTATATTACCAAACCTTTTCTTTTTTATTATTATGATAACTTTTAATTATTACAAATTAAGGTAAACTAAGATTGGCACACACACAAGACAAGTATCCTCATAACAAAGTATGAAGCAAAGAATAAAGCAAATAAAGCAAAGTGGGACAAAATGTTCTAAAATAAATTTATTTTTATTTATACCATAATTTTCTTTTATACAATTATTCTTATACATTATTTCACTCGTGTACCTTTTGTTTTATATAATTATTTTTATACATTTTTTAAAATTAATTGCTATTGATCTGTTATCTCCCTCAGTCCTGAAGTGCCCCTTACATCTTATCTATTTCTCCACCCCTCCATCCTCTCAGTAATATCTGCTTCCCTCATGATTTCTTCATCGTCTTACCTCTTCTCCCCTTTCTATTTTAAGGTTATATATCTTGTTCCTTTTTGATAATTTTTAACAACCATATTGGTTTTATCTTGATTCCTCCTTGGTTGATCTTCCCTTGTGTTAGTCTTTGTAGTGTTCTTTGCCTACACATTATTATTCTTCCCGTCCTCCCACCTCTCAGTTACCGTCCTATTATCACAATACTGGGATTTATCCTCTTTTGTGACTGAGTTCTTTCACTCTACGTTATATTCTTTAGACTTCTCATGTTGTCTTGTACTTTATGAATACTTCATTGTTCTTTAGTGCTGCATAGTATTCCATTGTGTGAATATACCACCGTTTTTCTAATCATTCATTTGTTGATGGGCATTTGAGTTATTTCCATTGTCTTGCTATTATGAATAACACTACTAAAAAATAAACAAAACCAAATAAACAAAAACACAAAAGAACTAAGTCAGATCCTACCCATATCTGACCCTGCAGCGACTTTTCTGAGGCAGTAATTGCAGGAGAGAAGATTGCTTATTTGTGACTTATCTCTGATTTTCTTGGAGTATTTATAGCTTTTTAAGGAAATGCCTAAATACTTTCCACAGTTCTTAGTTGTACTATTCTATAGTCCTACCAGTAATATGTGAGAGTTCCAACATTTCTTCCTCCTTTCCAACATTAATTGTTTGCTGTCCTGATAAACTTTGCTACTGGAGTGAGAGATTGTCTCATTGTTGATTTTATTCATATCTCTGATTTTCAATGATTAGTAACATTGTCCTCCTTGGTGAAGAGTCTTCATGTCTGTGTCCTTGTTTTAAATTGAATTATCAGTCTTTCTCTTGTATAGGACCTGTAGTATTCTTTAAACTTTAGTTACTAGACCCTTGTCTGAATGTCATTGTCAAGTCATATTTATATTAAATTTTTCTTCCCTTTTTTTTGCTTTAGCATACAATTTTATAAGACCATTTGACAGACAAGAAGTCTTGTGTTTTTACTCCCTTTTCCCCCCTTTTCATTAGTTTATTTACAAAATTCTAATATAAATTCAAACAAGTTCACTCAATTTTCCTCACTCCCCCCCATCAAATTATACAACCAAATGATTAATCCCATCTTCTCCACGTACATCCACGTCCCTCTCCTTCCAGCTTCCCCCACCCCTCCTGGATCCCTATACTCATTCTACAATGCAACATTTATCCTTCTGGGACTGAGTTAGTTCACTCAGCATAATGCTCTCCAGTCCCTCTCAAGTTAGGTAATAATCTACAAAGTTATTGCTCCTGGGTGCTGGCATAGTATTTCATTGTGTGAATGTACTATAATTTCTCAATCTATTTGTTTGGAGTTGGACATTTGGGCTGTTTCCATGTTCTTGAGATGGTGAAAAAAAATCTTCCTTCCTATTTTGAGTTGTTTTGTTCTTCTCATCTATGTAATGTGTTGATGGGTTAAACAGACCTTTTTTCTAAAGGGAATCCTGGTGGCGTTGTCCACTGCACTGCTAACCCAAAGGCAGTGCTTCAGTGGTCGTTTGAATCCAACAGTGGCTTCAAGGGAAGATTATAGACTATATCCTCCTATGCAGTTTATAGCCTCTAAAAAGGCACTGGAGTGGTAGCTGCGAGTTGGTTTTGACTTGACAGCAATGAAGATCTTGAGGTGTGGTTTTTTTTTTATGTTTGAGAATAGCAACCCACTTACATCTTTGATTTCTCTAATAACTTAGACCTGTACGTCCTTGTATTTTATGCCTTTGAATCTTTGCAACAACTCTATCAATATGGTAAAGGAATAAGTTGCAAGTAAATTATTATCATAAACATGTACAAAAAGTAGATCTGAAGGCATAGCTGATGAGTGAAGTGCTAGTAGAATGATATGTAATTTATACCTAAATCCAGTAGGTTCTTCTTATACTGTGTACCTTGTGTTTGATTCATATGTAGAAAGTCACTTGCTAAAAGTATCAATTTGCTTACAAAAAATTTAAACTGCAGCATCATTAGTGGAAAGAGATGTGTTCATTGTGTGTGTATTGGACTCTGGATGTATAGACAATAATAAGAATGTATTCAAAGTATGCATTGTAGCATCTGAACCATTGGCAATATTCTATCTCTTTTGGACATAGAGACTTGATTCACCTTTATCCAGCAAGTGTTTTACAAACTAGCACAGAAACATTTATTTGTTCAATTCAAAGATGCCATTTATTGATTGGATAATATGCTGAAAATTTCAGAGTGAGAAAAAAAAATAGGGGAAAAAAATCTCTATTTTTTCCCCCCAGTGCATTATTGGAATGAATAAAATATGAGGTGGTGTTGTTGTTATTGTGTTACTTTATTTTATATTGCATTCCTTTATTAGTTTTTATTATGTCCTGGGACATTTTTTAAGTGAAAAATAGACAAGTTATCAATATTAGAGAAGTTTTACATCTCATATCTCAGTTAATAGATTGATGTCCAGGCTGACATCATTTGCCATAGCATACAGAGGCAGGAAATCAACAACAGAGTGAACACAGGAGAGTGGTAACAGGGATTTGGTGAACCATTGTTTTGGAATGCAACTACCCAAGAGAGAGCAAATTATATCAGTTATGACAGACAAAAGTTCTCAATTAATGGCAAAAAAAGTAAAACTGTTAAAAGTGAGCCAAAAAATGGGGAAGCCTTTTTTTTTTTTAAATTAACTGAGTGGGTTTAGTATAAAGAGCCAAACATTTTCATCTGTCTACACTGTCAGCTTCCTCCATATATGAAAATATATTTATTATTTTCTAAATTAACTTAATGAGTTCCAGATTGTCCATGATATCATAATGGAAACAGGATTCTACAAGACTCTAGGAGGTTTGTTTTCCACTTAATGACTTTTACCTAGACTCCCTGTGTCACACTTTTGATCTTTACTGTGTTTCATATACCACATTGAAGGAGGTTATAAAAAGGGTAAAATAATAGAAACTTAACCAGGAAACAGATTTTCTTATTGCTGTAGTTTAAAACATCCTCTTGTCATATTCTTTAGCCTAATTCTTGAAAATAATAAAAGATATATCACTTTTATAAAAAGACAATTAAAACCGCTTATAGTTAATTACTCGGTGATGGAATTTTCTTTTGAGTCATCCCAACTACTTCACGCCAATTGATCTTCAGAACAAATTTGTTCATTATTTAGGCTTTATTGGTAAGAAATATCAGTTTCTTGAACTCTATCTTCTGTAAAATACTAGGTAAATATAATTGAGTGATTAATTTAATTATGCATATGGAAAATAAAAGGTAATTTTTTTTCTGAAAATAGCTTGATATAATAACTTTTCTATGGACCTCATAACTCCAAGAATACAATTTTTCCGTGTAAATAATTTCACCTAAAATATTATTACAGCAGATGAAGATGTAGAGTCATACTTCACACTTGACTGATTTTGTTAAATTAATGCTACTTTCTGGTAGACAACTCTCCACATTTGATTTTTTTTTCACATTTGATTTTTTTATAAACCATACTGCCAAAATGATTTGACTATTTAGGTAGGCTTGGCTGTTCTGAAATTTTCCATCCTTCACGTTTTGGCATCCTCAGTCAATTTTAAAAAGGTTTGAACTTGGCAGCAAACTTGTCTTATAAATTTCTAAATAAATACCTTCTCGGAGCTCTAGTGGCCTAGTGGCAAGAAAGCTGTGCTGCCATGCCAAAGGTTCTCAGTTTGAATCCACCAGATGCTCCACTGAAGAAGGAGGAGCAATCTCCTCCTGTGCCAGCTGGATCGAATTCGATGGTACATAACAAGAAAGGGGGGGGGGGGATACCTTCCGAAGTTGAGATTGCTTCTTTAACACTGCCCATTGTGTTTCTTCTTCACTGGCCAGGTAATCAATATAGCTACAACCTTGAAGAAAGGATCATCTATGGAGTAGAAAATAGTAGCACATTCCTGGAATGCAGTCCTAAGTCCCAGCAGGCTATGGTCCACTGGCATTTCCAGAGGCACAAGGATGACCAAAAACAAGAGGTACAAGAATAAAACTGAGCGGTTATTTTAGCTAATCTACTCTTTTTCCTCCTACTCTACTCTAAAGTGATTTCAGTGTGTTTGATTTTAAAAGAACTAAAAGGCACTATGAATTCATATCCTTTCCTTAACTTATTCATAGATAATTCTTTTTTTAAAAAGTGCTTATGGAAGGCTCATTATTTACAGCCCTTTTGCTAGAAGTTGAATGAACAAAGAGAAAACTGTAAGATTTTTCTGCATCTGAAGAAGTTTCTAGATATCATGGGATATATTTTCTTTTTTCTTCCGGTAGTTATCTGCAAACATTATTACTATATCTACAGAGTTGTACAAATTTTAAAAAAAACCAACAGCAAATAACAAATCCTCCCACTAATTTTAACTTTTGTCCATTTAATTCTTCTATCCAAGATGTTTTGTTTTCTTCATTAATTCCTTCCTAAATTCACAGGGGTAGTAGGGAAGGAATAGTAGGCAATTTAGGATAAGCATCTGAGGTCCCACTCTCAATGCTGATAAGAAGTCATGATATAGCATTAAGATTTTTCTCCTCATGGATTTCTATTTTCATTAATTAGTGAATTGTGCACAGAAAAACTCCACAAAATTTTACTTTTATCTGAAATGTGGTAACTAGTTGAAAACTTTTAAAACACGTTATAGGTAAAAATTCCCGTAATCTCTTTTCTAAATTTCAAGGAGAGCATTAAAACTATACAATCATATTATGCAAATTTGAAGATTCATTTTATGCATTTCTTATTTTGACTTTCTGAGACTGTTTCATAAACTTAAAGTAAAAGATTGGATATAATGAATATACTCAAGAACATGTTATTAGATTTAGGGAATAGAATACATAATTAAGCATTTCTCTTCTACTTGTTCAATTTTTACTTAATTCTTCAACTATTTTATTATAAGTTCTTCTTATACAAACATTTGTAAGAAATAATTTAGTGTTTTCCCTTATCAGTACTAACATCACTTGTCTTTCATATTAATATACCAACTTTTATATGTATAGTGTTTTTGCGTGGTACAAATGGTTAACACATTACAACTGTTAACCAAAAGATGTAGATTGAAGTCCAGCCAAAGGCCTTGTGACTTACAAAACATGGCCATTAAAAATTCTACAGAGTACAATGTCCTCTGATACTCAGTCTCAATGAGTCAAAATTGACTCAGCAACTTGCTTTTCAGATTTATAAAACAAATATGTCACTATTTTCTTTTCCTTTTAACTTGCATGTAATAGGATATTAAGCAAGCTTGATTAAAATACTAATGTAATAAATATCTTTCATGCATGTTAAAAATGAAGGACAAAGACTAGGATCTATTTTCCTGAGTAAAAAATGCTGTCTTTACTCTTAAATTAGAAATCTTTATTTACTGTTAAGCTCTATTAAATATTTGTTACATTTCACTCACGACCTGAAATATTATTGATAATATGCCCCAACGTTTATATGTTTTTTTAAATATGAGAAACCCAAATACATTGGTGCCAAGTTGATTCTGACTGTACACATACA